TGAAAGAGAGATAGAAGATTAAAACAAGAGACGGAAAATTGTGCGTCGAGATCTGGTAATGGATTGAAAGAAAAATTCGAAGCTACGAAAACAGAAAATGAATGGCAAGTAAATATGGCGGAAGAAACACCAAAATACGTCATATTAGAAACAGCACACATACGCGCATACATAGTTACACAGATACACACATACAAACACACACACACATATATATATATATATATATATATATATATGTATGTATGTATGTATTTATAAGCAGCGAAGATATATATATATATATATACAGGAGGAGATTGATAAATTTTCATATAAATGACGCAAAAATGAAAATAACAATGACATCTCATTTTAACAGATATATTTACCAAAATTGCACAAAAATATACTGAAATACGAATGAGTAAATTTATGCAATAAAATCGCCTTTGGCTTCAACTACAGTCTCCACATGACTTCAGAATCTCCTGCATCTCTTCTGGGTGGTCTCCTTGTTTAAGTTTGTGGATGCTGGCATAATCCTTGCCTTCAGTTTATTTTTGTTGCTACAAGAAGTTTTGTTGGTCTCCACACACATAATAATTAAAAGGGTTGCAGGCTGGGGAGTTAGTTGGCCAGATATATAGGGTGATGTGGTCGTAGAAAATGTCTGAGAGCCATGACTGGGTTTCTAGCTTGTATACCATAGCGCAGAGTCCTGTTGTCAGACAAAGGTTATTCAAGCAGTCACCCTCTTGATACAGGGCAGCACTACCTCCTCAAAAGATGTATGAACTATGCGTTTCGTTATGAAAAAAAAAACATGGTAGGCACAACAATGAATTCGACAGCATTAACAGCGTCAAGGTCACTGCGTTTTTTAATAAGAAAATCAATATTCGGAGTTATCAATTCAGATTTTAGAGGACAGAAAATAACGTTATGCTGTTATATATATATATATATATATATATATATATATATATATATATACATATATATATACAGAGAGAGAGAGAGAGAGAGAGAAATGACCACAAACATGACTGAAAAATGTTCAAAAAGTAAAAAAAAAAAAACTTAAATTCATAACATCCTTTCACTTAAAATATATAAAATATAACTAAATCATGAAGCTAAACTGATATAAATATTAATTACATAAGTAATTCAACAACATCAATTACTCACATTTGTTTATTAGACATTAAATTACATCACTTAGTATCCGCTAGTTAGCTTGGTGTATATTTAAGTGATATTCTTAAATTTAATCAATTTTTCAAGGTAGCATTTTTTGCTTTGTTTTTTATAAATGTGCGTTGCAAAATAAAATTCTTATATTTGCCTTGAAAAATTCCATCTGAGGACAAAACGCTACTAATCTTAACCCCAGCGTTTTGTCCTCAGATGGAATTTATCAAGGCAAGTATAAGTATTTTATTTTTCAACGCACATTTATAAAAAAAAAAGGAAAAATGTTACCTTGAAAAAATGATTAAATTTAAGATAATATATATATATATATATATATATATATATATATATATATATATATTTGACTGCTTTGAAGCAATCACATGTCTATCATTTACCGCCCAATGGACCATTTTGCATATTAACAACCTAGCGATATTTTTTCTAATTACAGACTATGTTAATAAAATTAAATTTCTAGTTTGTTTGATTACTATCGAGAGATTTCCGGTGGGTAATTAGGTATGCCTCTTTCATCTTCGCTCTGGGTAGCACTAGACCACAAGATACCATTTTAATGTTTAAATAGCTAGATGCAACTACCAATTCTACTATAAGAAGCTTATTTTCTGGGACTTTCCCTCAATCGTCCCAATTCTCAGTTTTCTCATTTTCTATCACTTTCACACCCTGTAACCCACTGCGTTCCAGGGACATTGTCACCTCTCCAGGCTGGGGGTGGGAACGATTAAAATAAAATTAAAAAAAAAAACAGTTGTTTGTTAGTTGGTTGGTCTAAGAATCTACAATTTCATTGCTCTACCATAGTGGATACTATGCAGTATTTCTCTATGATACTATGCAGTATTGCTCTACCATGGTGGATACTATACAGTATCTCTCCTAAATAGGTTGTTGTTTGTCTCTTCTCTCCCACAAAAAAATATTAGTAGCGAATTACAGTGATTAGTTGATTGAGCTTCTGATCTTTATAATTGTTGGTGCTAATGTTGGGTGCTAATTCTATGACATCTTGAGCTATTGCATGATAATATTTAACTTTATTGAACAACCATTGTGACATAACAGTGATAAGAATTCAGAATTTCTTGAGATGGAATAAATCTAGTAGAAGGAAATGAGATCATTTCGTAAGGGTTTTAATTGGAATTGAAATCAGGCTATAATTTAAACGATAGATAGATAGATAGATAGATAGATAGATAGATAGATGGGGAGAAAGAGGGGGAGAAAGAAAGAGAAATAGAGAAAGTGATGGACAGATAGAACAGCATAGATAGATAGATAGATAGATAGATGGGGAGAAAGAGGGAGAGAAAGAAAGAGAAATAGAGAAAATGATAGATAGATAGAGAGAGAAAAAGAAATAGTGATAGAAAGATAGAAAATTGAAACCAAGAAGATAAAAAAGCGATTGAATGTGAGGAGGGAAAATAGATAAAATGAAAAAAAGAAAAGTAACTCCGGAAATTATATCTGTGACTCATAATCCTTTAATCAGTTATGAAACAAGAGACGTCGGTAGTTTTTATCAGTCTCGTTATAAGTCATAACCATTCAGTATGTGCGTGATTACGGTCCTCTACAGCTTCCTATCATGCGTTGCTCTTTGTAATCTGTACTTGTTTACGTTCTCTCTTTACGTTTGTGATTTTGAAAATGAAACGATTTCCTCAAAAATTAAAAAAGGATACACTGTGTCTCTCTTATACATTCGATGTGTCCTGTGAGTATTAAATTCTCCAAACCTACTTTTCTCCTTGTGTCTGAAACTTTTCAGCCCTCTCGTTCTACCTCTTAGTAGCAGTTTCATCTAAATTACTGCACACCTTTCAATCCCAGACCACGAGTGGGACCTGTTTATTCGTACCATCGCTAAGCATGCACTGAAAATGGATATTTTCCGATGTTGCTATAGTTTTTAAGTAACCTTAAACATATTTAATGAATAAGGTTTTCAAAATAAATGAGAAAATGAAGTAAATGTTTTACAAGAAGTGGAAAGATGAAACAGAGTGGCAAAGACATCGATATAGAGAAGAGAGAAAGGAAAACTGATGAATCAATGAATTGAAGAAAGAAAAAGAGAAAAGAAGGAAACAAAGAAAGGGAAGAAAATCAAATGAATAAAGATAGAAAGAGAGAAAGAAAGAATTAAAAAGTGAAAAATGAATGAATGAAAGAAAATAGAATCAAACATACAAACAAATAAATACCAAAGAAAGAGTAAAAAACATGAATGACTGAAAGAAAGAAAGAAAAAAACAATTAAATAAAAAAGAAAGAAAAAGGAAAGAATGGCGGAAAACAAACAGAAATAAAAACGGAAAGAAAGAAAATACAAAAGAAAGACATAAAATAAGGGTAGAAAAAGAGAAATAAAAAAAGGAAGAAAGACAGAAAAAAAACAACAGAAACAAAGAAAACGTTGAGAAAGAAAAAGAAATGATAGCAAGGACAGATACGAAAGAAAGAAAGAAAAACATGAAAGAAGGGAAAAGAAAGAAAAGAGAAACCTAAACAAAGAATAAGATTGAAAGAAAAGAAAAGAAGAAACAACAAAACATATCTTTTAGTGATGTAGTTTTTCTGTGAACAAACTCAAAATATAATCTTCTTTTGTCGACGGATATTGATAAAGCAGCTGATCTCAAAAGATTTGTTGTGAATCTGAGGAAGAGTGAAACTTCACCGCTAAGGGCTTCTTCCCGTAACCTTGTCTGCAGCTGATAAACAATGATCAGGATTGTTTGCTTTGGTTTGTTTGGCTGTAAAAACACACGGGCGATGGTCAGTGATTGCAAACTGAGTTGTCAGGAGGTCAGCATTGAAGAACGGATTTCTGTCAATAAAGATGAACAACAAAACAAAGCTGGCAAGCAGAACTGTTATTAGTATTTATATGACTAATTTCTACTGTAACTATTAATATTAGTTAGCATATTAAAAACAATATTAACCTTATTATTGTTGAGAGTGGGGAAAGTACGTCAGTCAAGTGACACTAGGTTACAAATATGCGGATCCCAATATACCCATTATAGTATCCATTCTAATAAGGGTATACTAGGCATATGCACCCCAGACAAATGAGGATGGGGACAGTTAGAAACAACTTCAGGACGAGTAACTCAGTCCGCTAACACGGTCTCTGATTTAGGGTGTTCCAAACTATTTAAATGTGACTCCAATATCGTCTTGGCTGTCTCATCTTTCAAACTTAAAACCCCTCTCGGCACTTGGCTATGCTACTGTCTGAATCCCCCCCCGCTCATGTAAAGAGACGCGCAGTGCATCAGGCCATAGGGGTCATGAGAAAAAAATGTAATCAAAATTTCTGCTAAACGTACAAATGTACTTTGCTTACACTATTTACATTATTCGGACTATTGTCCTCATCTTTGTCGCCATATTTATTACAACGTTTCGGCTATTGTACGCTCCGGCCTTCTTCAGGTAATTGGAATGTCGAACTGAACTCTTTATTTCGCTCACTGGGGTAAACTCTTCTACTTCCACGTGCCATGTGTATGGGTGTCAGTTATCAGTTATCTGCTGTTAATTCCCCTCTGAAAGTTCTCCACTGCCTTAACCAGGTATTGAACTCACACTCTTTGGGTCCTGTCACTAATGTAAATAGTGTACATAATACCTTATCTCAGAAATATAGACAGGTACTTTGCTTAATATGCATTTTTGTATTGAATAATATGAACATATTCAAACACAGATCCAATATTCTAGATTTAATCTAAAAAAAAACTACATTTCCATCATATAACAATGTATTTTAGATCAAGTAGATCGGTTTGCGATGATGAGTGTATGTCTATGTAATCACGATAAACTTTATTTTGTAATAATTATATTTCAATTACGGATGCGCAGGTGCTGTAAAGGCCGGCAGCTTGGGGTGGAAATCGGTGGGCCAAGTTCGAATTTCAGTCGAGTTCCTTTACATTCACTTTTTTCATTAACCCTATACCTTTGGGCAAGCAATGGATGCATGTATAATCCATCAGCTATTTAATATGGTTCTCAATTTTTTTTCACTGGGCCGCTTTTTCGGAATGAAAATTTGTTCGCACCTCACCAAATTTTATCTGATAAAAAGTACATTTAAAAATAAGAGAAAAAACAGTAAAGGTTAAAGCGAAATATACACATATCGGAAGTCATGAGATTATCATTGATCTCCTTCAATTTGAGGAGCCTAGTTACTAAATTCTTAATACTTAATATAATGCAAAAATATCACAATGATAAAATGGGTCAATGATTATTTATATCCATTTACACTGGCACCCGTGCATGTAATTACAAGTAATTCATAACAGTATTTTAAATTTTGAAATCATATTTATTTTTGACATATAAATTTTTTGAAACTCTTTCTAAATCTTTGATTGTCTTTCCTACTATTCCGCCTCACCTGCTATCTTCTTCCACTGCACCTATGAGCTATGAGTTAAATTTTAGGGACATATTGAACATTTCGTCATTGGTTTACAGTGTAGGAGATATAAAGGTAAGGATTCCCAAACTAGACGAGATCGAAATGTTTAACTTTGGAAAACATAGTCATCTAAGGGAAGGAAACCCCCGATAGAAATTAGTGCTCATAGTAGAAAAGTTGGGCGTGGAGCCAATCGGCCCACACCAACACATCGATCGCAGAAACCCCGACAGTGACCTTATGTGCTACGAGACACCAGGCAGAAAATTAATAATTTTAGTATGTGAAGTTTTTGATGACTGAATATTTTAAGTAACAAAACAGATATGATGAATTAAATGTTCCTAATGACAGTCGAATTTAGCTTAATCAGCTGCGGCATCCATAATGGCAAACGCGGATGACTGCGATTGGGAATCTCTAGAAGAATCCAGCAGTTTCAGATTGTTTGATGTCGTCGAAAAGATTTGCCTAGATGGTTTTGAACAATTTGATACTTCTAGCTCTGTCGAAGTGACTAACACAATCAGGTTGTCATTCGCAAGAGTAGCTGAAGGTAATGCCCCACTTAACTCATAAATAGGAAGACTGTTGAACTAAAATGGTCAAATATCTCCCTCTCCCTGCCCATCTCTCTATATTTCTCTCTTTTTAAGACGTAGGGGATTTTGGTCTTTTAGTTTCATCTCCTTTGTTGCTAATGGTAAAGTTGAGATTATCTCTTTCCATTCAGGAATCGTTCAGTGTTCATTGAGCAAAACCGCTAGCGCTACTGTAGCTTTAAATTGATAAAAGTTTTTCAAGATATTAGATTTCTCGAGTCCACTGTTATCACGACTTCTAGTACACCTGACAGTTTCTGTCCAAACCTTTTGTTTAGGGTTGTGTGGAATGTCAACATCCTAATTATATCCTTATTTTCCATTACTCTTACATGTGCTACTCATTTTTATTGTTGCTACGGTTGGAAGTCTTCAAGTGATGCGTTTATTTTATTATTATTATTTGATAATCTCTTAGTGGTTTTACAACTTTAGTCTGTAGGACAGGAGGAAATATTTTCTGATGGTTTTAGCAATAAAAACAAAACAAAAAGAAAAAAAACAGTAGAACCAATATCGGTGGAGAAAAAAGAAATGTTCTCTGTGTGTAAAGTATAAAGTTGCAATCATTGTCACCCGAATAAGATTCCTAAAAAAATATCACGTTATATTCACTGGGTCAATTTGAAAGAGGCAAAAACAAAGAAGAGTATGATAAATATGACGAACGGCTTTAAACCGAAAGTACGATGTTTCTTGTAGGTCTATTGCTGAATCTTGTTTAATACAGAGTGTGACAGAAATATATCCCACATACCTCCCAGAAATACCTCTCATATACACATAATGGTAAGACATTAGTGGCAATGGCATCTACATCAAGCTTATGGAATATCTGGAAGGTATATGTGAAAGGTATTCCTGGGAGTTATATATGGGATGCATTTCTGGGATGTGTATGTGGGGGGTATTTCTGCCTTTCCCTGTACTTTTGAGATTAAATTAGTTCAGGCATTACTTTGTTTTACCAATCCTTGTATATTGAAGATACATGATTTTATAAAAGTGAATCTGCTATGAAAATATATTGTCTTTAAATAATTAATCCATTATCATATTTCCTGATATTCCTGTATGTATTGTGATATTCCCTTATCCAATTCGTTGTCATAATCGTAAATAATCATAATAGTAATGATAATAAAATAATTATAATAATAATGATAATAATAACGATAATGATAAAAATGATCTATGACTACTACTACTACTACTACTACTACTACTACTACTACTAATAATAATAATAATAATAATAACAATAATAATAATTTCCTACTGACATGGCAGTCCGTGCAGATTGCAATGTATCTTTAGAGATCTTCAAAAAGCTAAGAAAATACAAGGATCATGAAGCGGAAATCTAAAAAATGTGGCACATGAGGACATCAATAATTCTAGTTGTAGTTGGACTCCTCACATTGATTGGCAAAGGTTCAGACAGGCACATTGAAAATATTCCTTGCCTTAAAGAAATACAAAAGTTCTATTCACAAGTATAGCTCACACATTACGAAGTGCTTTATCTATATAAAATGTGTCTAATCTTAAGGTTTTTTGTTTTGTTTTTTTACAAAAATGATCAGATGAAGGAAATGTGTATACAACAGAAATGAAATAAAGAAATAATAATCATAGTAAAAATGTTCTGTAGTTTTATTTTTTGTTAGTATATTTCCGATTTCGCACTGTTTGTCCCAGTGAAAAATGAGTATATTAATCCACAATGTTGAGATAAAAATCGCGAAAAATAAAGCTGAATAATAATAATAATAGTAACAAGAAATTCAGGGAGTATATGCTTATTGACATAGTAGTATTATTTGAGAGAAACATCTCCAGAAAAATTATCGAGAAATTGTCCAAATGCAAGGAGCTATGTCAATAAGTATATACTTCCGATTATTATTATTATATTATAAAATGAGGTTGAGATTTACAGGATGTGGAGAATGAAGACTGAGAGTGTACCAATAATAATCGGAGTTCTGCGCCTCGTGAGAAAAGAAATGGAAAATTTTACTAACAGTATCCCAGGTAACATCAACATATGCCCTACTAGGAACATCCCATATACAAAGAAAAGTGTTATCAAATGACAATACTCCAACAATGCTTAAGAACCATAATTTGGACTCGGCTCTATAGGATACAAAGCAGGAAACATAACATGCACAAATAATAGCAATAATAATAATAATAATAATAATAAAGGAAATCCTGAAAAACTGGAAAACGACACTAGACCTAAACCATACAAACGAGACTTTAACATCGAGATCAATGATCAAAAGCGGGATCTTCGAAGGAGATTCATTGTCACCACTACTCTTCTGCTTTCATTTAGCGCCACTCAGCTGCCTACTGAACAACAGTAGCTACGGATACTTGTCACAGAATTGTAAACTGAATCACCTATTCTATATTGATGATCTTAAAATGTTTGCCAAGAATGACAACCAGCAGAGAAACCTACTCACCATTGTCAATACTTTCAGCGACAAATGTGCCAAAGCCAACTTCAGAGGCGGGAAACTAACGAAAACTACAGATTTAGACCCTGATATCAACAACAAGATTAAGGATCTAGACCAAGATTTTATAGGAGAGTGTATTTCATACAAGAAATCAAACTAAAACACCTTAGCTATACCCGTAGTAACATACAGCTCTAACATTATTAAATGGAAGTTGAATGCCATTAAAAAATTGGACGCCAAGATCAGAAAAATACTTACCCAGATGAGGATGCACCACCCGAAACCAGATGTTGATAGGCTGTATGTACCAAGAGATTTAGGAGGCTGAGATCTAATCCAACTCTAAAATCAGAATAAACGGAGTAGAAGCTTAACTCACAAAAACCAACAACCCTCTCCTACAAATAATAAAACACAAAAAAAAACACTCCATCAACAAAGAAGCTGCACTCTTCAAGAAACAGCTTAATATACCTGAAATCCTACCAACAAAAAAATACTATCTACGCCAAACGAGCAAAACAGAAAGTAAAACAACTTGACCAAATGAAATTCAAAAAAAAAAATATTGGAGCACCAGGCATTGAATGAAAAGTACCTACAAAAACGAAAGAAGCAGATGTAGACCAACAGAAAACACATCAGTGGTTGAGAAGCACCGAACTGAAAGCTGAGACAGAAGGCCTAATTATTGATACTCAGGACCAAAGCCTCGAAACTAGACACTATCACTGTCACCTAATCAAGAATGGAACTAACCCAAGATGCAGGATCTGCGGGAAATATGATGAAACTGTCGACCATATTATCTAAGAATCTCCGGAACTGGCAAACAAATGAATAAGCCTACAGACATAACAAGGTAACGACATATATGCAAGTTTCAAAGACTATAAGCAAATTAAAAGGTTTTGAAAGGTACCATATATCCAATGTGCTTAGACATACCTGTGTTTACACGATATTTAAATGTCTAAAATACATAAAAGTCGCTATAATTTGTATCAAATGACTTGGAAAGATGATTTCAAGTTTCATTTAGTCAAGGAATATAGATTTTTCTTCAGAATTGATATTTACAAGTTATTAAAAATCGCTCTTACTTCTTCCATGTGCCGTTTGTCATCAGAATGTGAGTGGCCATGGCTCTCTACAACTTCCTGTTATTTGTAGCCCTTACTAAGCTTTGTTTTTTTCATCATCCCTCTCAGTCCCAATTCTGATATCCATTTACACAAGTTCGTTAGGTAGATTATTCGCTGTTTCTCAGTATCTTTCTGTAGAACTACATGTCTGTTGGCTCAAGTCTAATTTTCAACTGTAAGAAGATTGTGTAGCATTCATTGTCATGCAGGAGGACCGATATTATTTGACATTTTAGAATACATTTCTTCGTTTCGAATGAAATTTTCCTGCTTTTTAAGAATTTGCTTAACATTTAGAATGCATCTTCGCTGTTTCAACGCGCGCCTTCAGATTTTGATATCAAATTTTGCGTCCCCTGATAAAAAAAATATCTTCTCATATACAGTAAAATCCCTCATAACCGGAAACCCTGATAACCAGAGTGCCTCATATCCAGATTCCTGCATATCCGGACATGATTTTGATGTGTATATTTGAACTATTTGAGTGATATGTAACTGATTTGTCATTTCTGTTTTTCAGGAAATTTACTTTGGAGAATTGCTTATGCTTATTTCACCCTAATGGCTTGTATTGGTTCAAAAGGTAATTGAAATAAGAGGAAATTATGACAACAAGACACATCTGCAACAAAATATTGACGAGATGCATGACTGTGATGAAACTTGGACTGAAATTGAAAAAGCTATTGAAAAGGTTGTCAGTTTTATGCAAAGAAAGCTATGACGATTGCAATAACATATACAGAGTTAAAAATTATCTTTCGTTTAAAAAATTTCAAGAAAAAATGAAAAATGAAATGCGGGAAAAGTTGAGAGTGACATTAGAAAAGAAAGAACAACAGCGATTAAAAAATCCTCGTTATATTATTTGTTTTGCATACTTGGCATATTTAATTTAATGAATTTTCATTAACATTACATAATTTATTTCTTATAATTCTATAATTAATGATCTTCTGCTTTCATACTATGTTACATAAAAGCTGGATATACACGAAATTGATATTTAATAATTTATAATAGAACAATAGTAAACATATATGATCAGTCTTTGAAGAATTTGCATCTTAAAATTCTTATTCTCAATAGCAACCATAAATCTATTATTCATGATTTTCTTTAATTTTTTTCTTCCGGCATGGTGGTTTTAATTGCTTACCATAGCTCTACATTGCTTTCATATTATTTGTCAAATTCATTTAATTTCCCTTTCACAATTATCGATAGAATTTCGGTCGGATTCAGAACGGAACCATTCCATTATCGTCTCTCTTGTAAACTTTAAAATTCACGCGTAACCAAAGATAGATGAGAACGAACATTATTGTGCATAAATGCACCTTTGGGGCTGGGACTCGTACCATTCAAAGAAAATTTTAGCCACGAAATAGAAACAGCACTGTTCAGTTTAACTCATTTATTTAGTTTGAATGAATCAGTAACGGTTTAGTCGAAAATTCCAGCCATATAATATCACTGCTGCTGCCTTATTGCTATTTCTTAGCCACAAGTATATCTACATCAAATAAAACCCATCCTTTGGCACATTCGTCAGGTCCATTAACCATAAGCCAAGATTTTTCCATAAGAACTACTTTAGAAAAGTTAATGTTTATTCATTTCTTGATCCAATTTTGACTCTTTAAAATATTTGCTTTCCTGTCTATGAGTTTTCTTGACAGATTCCAATTTGCGAAGTATCCTACACATTTTGTCCTTATTGACTCATTCCATTCTAACGTGTTCAAAGTTCTGTGCACTGGTCAAAAATGCTTGTTTCACTATAACTCGCTTTAGTTTACATTTCCCTGAAGGAGATTTTTCCATTGCTTTTAGTTATCAATTTATATTTTCAAGAGCCACCTTTATCGTTCGGTGATCTCTGTAAAGCTCTTTTGATAACTCTATTATGAACATTTTTTTCACTTAGTAACTTTGTTATTTTCAGGTTTTTCTGTATGTTTTAGATTAGTTCCACTACTTTGTATCAATATATATTATGGAAAAGAAAAGAAAAATATAGTTGTTGTTATATTTCAAAGATATTAAAATAATATTAGTGTAATTTGTATAATAACTTCGGGCAGTCCATTTTCATAAATTCCATCTCAAAATATAGCCATTAAAAGCACCTAAATCTTTAGTTAGAGATTTTACCAAGGATGGAAATGGACTAGTTTCAATTTGGCAAATATTGGTTCTAGATATTTTGAGTTATTGAAGTTTATCTTATTTACATAATAGCGTCAGATGGGCTGGAGTGGCAGATGACTAAATAGAGAGCAGAATGCTGCGTAAAATCATAAGTCCAATTTTCCGACAAGAAAACCAGAAATAACCAATTTTTAAGTTGATATTTCCCTTTTACTCCACCAAAATTTCTGAATAAATAATTTCCAAAATACTTTTGTCATCTTCTGAATATATTCTTTGCGCCAATTGATTTGATTTAGACATAGCTGAAGTATGCAAGAAATAGCAAATATAGGGCTGATTTCAAATTGCAATGCAGACAAGAATATATATATATATATATATATATATATATATATATATTGTTTTAAGCCTTATAAAACTTTATGGTGACTGGTTAATAATTCGACATAATAAGAACAGAAATAGAACACATTGAAAGAGACGTCTGAAAACCGAATAAGAATGAATTAGATTTGTTTTAATCTGCCTTTAAAATTGACACGTGCTTTAAATATGATATTAACTACAACTTCAGCAAATTTATTCTGTAACTTTTTAGATTCTATATATACTTTCGACTGATCAATATATTTTTTACCTGTTAATAAGACTTTCTTTATCTCATTTTTGCTATTCAGATCTATCTTCCCGTATCTCGGCGTATCTCTCCGATATCTACGTAAGACATTTGTATTCATTTGTATTCATATCTATCTATCTATCTATCTATCTATCTATCTATCTATCTATCTATCTATCTATCTATCTATCTTAACCCATTTAGATCTATATAACGCAGTCTCTCTATCCAGGAATGTATTTATCTCCATATTTATATATAGTTATCAATGTATCTGTCTCAGTTTTTCATATCTATCTATCTATCTATCTATCTATCTATCTATCTATCTATCTATCTATCAGTTCGAAAGTAATGTTTCCGTTTGGATTATTTTGCCAACTATATCTGGTACATTGTTATATTACTATTCACCTAAAAAGACTTGAAAACAGCTCAAAGTAGATCTTACAGACACAATGGTAAGACAGAATAAAGTGTTTGATTTGAATAGAAGATCAATTTGAAGGAAAAGATTATGAAGTTACGCAAGAAAGATGGCGATTGTCTTCCAACTTGGAGAGATCAATGTTTATGTGATATAAGTGAATGCAGTAATGTACAGTTTGGCAATAGCAAAGACGTGATCCCCCTGGAAAGTCATCAACTTACATTACCTTAATCCATACCCCTAACTCTCGTGGGTCTGTAGTATTTTTAAAATTCGTCGGTAGAAGATCCCTGTTGTTTCAATACGCTTCTCGATTTGTGAGATTTCCCAACATTACTGCCATCACCAAGAGTATTGTGATTTTCCAAGCGTAGCTTATATGTGACACAAGACCGAAAGTATTGAGCACCCAGTGAGGACCGAATTCACTACTTAGTCGTAATTGTTCTAGCGAGACAAGATTGCTAACCATTACACCGCCTCGTGGTGTCCAAACAAGCCAAAAATGTGGAGCACCCAGTGAGGGTTGAACTCGCTATTCTGTCATAATTGATGTAGAAAAACCATTACACTACGTCTAAGTGCCCCGTCAAGACACTCTCTCTCTCTCTCTCTCTATATATATATATATATATATATATATATATATATATATATATATATATATATTCTATCTTAATACTTATCTGATCTTGCCTATATGTGCTGGATGCCGTTGTCCTTAATACAAAGCATACACCTTGGTCTCTCTCTTTTGCTTACAACAATGAATTTTCTCTTCTTATAATTAATGGTTAATCGTTTCTTCTTGCCAAAGGTATCTTCATCAAATAAAAAAAGGTTGTACATTGTTATGCATTTTATCATTGATATGTTTCCGAAAAGGCAGCCTTCGTTGACTGTTGTAATATTACGATCTTATACAACCCTATTTGTAACAAAATACATAATTTATCGAGTCTAGTTATTTTAATATTATATCCTTGCAGGATTTAGATGTTTGTGGCTCTTCACAGCTTCCTTTATTTTCTTTAAATTACAATGCGCTCAGATGAAATATAATGAAACAGTTTCTTGTTGCAAGTTCCACGGTTTGAAATTCAAGTAATCCTTCTCTTAAATTACTCCAACCCAAATATAGATAACCCAGTCTACTTTGTTTTTCCCCGGAGTTTGGAGTAAAGAAGAGATGGAAATTTGCGCAAAATCGAAAGAAACATACTAACCCGGAATTTGAACTTGATTCTTCAATTCCGGGGCTCTTAAAAGAACAAACATAATTCTCCCGGAATATTGGCTGAGTTGATAGTGAAAGGCTGAACGAGAGATGTGGCTGACAAATTAAATTTTGAGATCATTTCCGTCCGTACGGTGTAACAGTACGCCAACACGTCCATCATGTAACTTTTCACCGACCGGGCAATGATTAGCCCACGTTGCGTCTTCATCCTCGTTCTGAGGAAGTCCGACTGCACACTCACAAAGAAACGGAAGAGGAAAACCAAAGCCACAGCTAGAAATTAGATCTCGAACCCTGTTTCTAATATATTTAGCTATTTTATTCAGGGCTTCGATTGTTCAGTCTGGGTTGGACGGGATCTAACACTTAGGACAATTTTGGAATTCAGACACTGACTGACTCTCATGCCTTGAGAACATAGTCTACCCAGCTATTTAACCCATAACATTGAGGGGAGAAATGGATTCATATACATGCCGTTACCGTCAGCATTTGCATGAAAATGCAGCAGATGAAACTAAATCGGTTTGTTTGGTTTGGTTTGGTTTACGGCATATCAACCTCAATGGGTTATCTAATGCCAACAAATTTTTATTGCGGGTAATATTGCTTTTTCCAAAAATGTATTGCTGGTAATTTTTTTTTTCAAAAATCTATATCTGAGAATATTTTCCTTCAAAAATTTAATGCTGGTAATATTTTTTCCACGCTACTACCTTACTGATGGACGTAGTTTATTGTCTTACTTAGGACGGCTCGAACTCGACACGCCACACGCCGGATTAATTTTCTCACGCTGATAACTTAGGAACACTAGAAATTTTCATAAATGGAATTGGTTCCTCATTCGACTAAGTGCCCTTCAAAACCTCTTTTTATTCTTTCAAGATGCCTTACTGATGGACGTACTGTTTATTTTGATTGGGGTTCAACTTTTTTGCCATAGTCTTTGCTTCTGTCCAAAGTCAGGTTGGACATGGGAGGACGGCTCGAACTCGACACGCCGATTAATTTTCTCACGCTAATAACACGATCACGAGAGCATGCACACACACAAGATAGATACATAGATAGATAGATAGATAGATAGATACTATTTTACGAATTTTGTTTCATATTCTCAAGGTTGTTACCGTATCAAACAGCATATTCTGATGATTTGTAATGTGAAGGAATGAACAACAACTAAGGAGAATCTTAGAATAGAGGGATCGAAATGAGATGAGATAAACATCAAAGGATGGAAGAATGAAACGAAAAATGGTTTCATTAATGACAATGTTTGCGACGTCAATGAATTTCAGATAATACTGAGGAAGACCGTACGACATTTGGGTTTGAAACGCTGTGATAGAGACAACAAAGATGGGTTTAATAACAATGCATCATGGTAGAATTTAATACAGCGAGATAAACGAATTTCCTTTATTATTCATATTCCTTTCATATTTAGCCGTAACTGTGTCCCACCGAGAACCTACCCAGGTAGCCATACGATATCGTATGCCACCTGCCTTATTCGCAGGTAGCCATACTATAGTATGTATACCTGCGAATAAGGCCTTGTCGCACGGTATAGCTGAATGCGCCATCTGTGATAACCTCCTGGGTGATGTAGGTTGGCTTATTTCCGGTTAATAATGTGCAATTAACCATAACGTGGTTTACAGGTGAGTTCAAGCCACGATAACCAAAACTAAAAGTCTTACAATACCAGTGGCGTAAGTTACTAGTTCTTAAGTTCATAAAATTCGAAAATCGATCTCTGTTACTTCCATGTTAACTCCAAGATCTGGGGAACTAAATTAAATTTTCATTATCGTACACATGTTCGGAAATATAACATTTATTCTCGCTGTTTACTCAAGATTACAAGCAATGGGTTCTTCTGCCTTTCTCAGATGCATTTTGCCTTCGAAAATGTTGACATGAAGAGAATGTGACCCGCATTGGAATGTGAAATCAGGACAAAAAAAACGCGCAAAGAAAAAAAAAACGAAATATGGAACTCGTGATGTTTTCGTTACAAGTTTGACTGAAATAAGACTGTGATACGTTCATCATTTTACCCATCGGTGACATTATATAGAAGAATGAGATGAGCTATTGAGAATTGTGCTACTATAAATGAAAAATGTTTGACACACTAACACACTCATATTGGCATTTATTATATAGATAATATTAACCTACTACAAGACTCATGAGGCACTCAAATTAGATATCGCGACTCATTTTCAAGCTTGCATGAGAAGCAAGGAATGCGACTAATATATTTAAGAGTTTATTTTCTAAATTCTCGGTTGACTGTTGGGATAGCTTCTCTGTTTGAGGAGCCAGAAAAGCAGCGCAAATATTCATTTTATCCGCATTGATACACAACCCAGTAACTCTGCAAACACTAACTTGAAGGAACCAGCCAAATATCTGACAACTAAATCTCAATACTTAACCAGCGCTGATATCTTCAGTTTTACTCTACCATCTTTTCCGTCAAGTTCTGCTAATCCAGTCCAGTTCTGATTTACTAAATAGGCAAAAAAAAATTCCTTTGGACTTTTTTTTTTTTAAAAAAAGACTATCTCTACTCACCTACGAAATATTTTCTTGAATCTAAGAACTGAATACCAAGTTGCATTCTGTGCCATATAAAACGAGTCGTACGCTATGAAAGCTCAAGAAATACAGCAGTATCTTTATCGAAACTTTTACACAGCAATTAAAACTACATTTGGTCTCTCAGATAGTACAACTGTCCAACTAAAATGAGCAGATGGCCGAAATAAACTGAATTGTTTGCTTGAATACCTCAATGAACACCATTAATTCAACTGACCTGAATCTTGAAACTCGGCTGCCAAATTTAGCACCAATCAAGGAACTCGACACCATAATCTCGTCCTATGCAGAAGTGCATAAAGCACGTTTGAGGCTAAATGAAAGCAAGATTCCCTAAGAAATTCTAAAGGAAGTCTATAAATTTAATTGTTGAGCAGTAACATCTCTTTCATAAAAATGAAAGTAGCCTTCTGGAAGGTTGTTTTGTCCATCCCAAACCAGACTATAAAGAATCCTATCGTCATAATATTAAATAAGAAATCACGAAATAAGATAGAATATGGAAACTATTGTGGAATCTGAGTTGGGTGTACATCGAAAAAAAAGAACATTTGCTCGAATCCAGACCTCTGCAAACCAAAACAGCCTACTAGAAACCCAATGTAATTCTTGAAAGGAGAGGAGCACTATGGATATGATTTTATTGGCACTCCATCCACAAAAGAAAGAAGGTCAAAACTTGTTATTCAACTGTTAAAGATGAGTAAGACCAGAAGCGATAAAATAATTTGCCAAGTTTTGGAAAACTTTGCCCAATTATAATAGCCATTATCAATATTTTATTCAATGGGATATTTTCTAAAGTTTCTTCTGGTGGCCTTATGTCATGTTGTTTCGGGTATAAGTAGTAGTTAAACAGTAATGTCTTCAATCTCCAACCTTTTTTGTCTTATCTCTTTTAGCCTGATATGAAGCGAGTACTGACGATTGCATTGCCATCAATTACCGACTGGATAATAAGTTATTCAATCTGCAGATACTCAAGGCCAGAACAAAGACACGTAAATCTTGCATGAAGCACATCCGGCTCCAATCACTTTGTCTTTCTAGTAGAACATTAATATTAAAAATCTCTCCTGCACAGCCAGTGGGATGTGCGTCAGTGCGCAGATAAAATGAATATTTACACCGTTTTTCTCATTCCCTATACATAGAAGAAGGCGTCCCGACATTCAACCGAGAATTTAGTAGAGAAACTCTTAAAAATACTGGCTTCTCATGTGAGTTTGAAAATAAGGCGCTATATTTAATTATCAGTAAACCTTGAGTGTCTCTTGAGCCTTGCATTGGGTGAATATTATAATAAATGCCAAGGCTAATTTGTCAGTCTGTCACACTTTTTCAGTTAAAGGGTTACACTTCTCAATAGCTCATCTCCTTCTTCCTTAATATAAATGCCAATGTCACCGATGGGCAAAATGATGAACGTATCAGTCTTATTTCAGTCAAACTTGTAACGAAAACATCACAAGTGATTTACACGAGGTACTTCCATATTTGTTCCTTCTTTTTTTTTGTCTTGATTTCACATTCAAATGCGGGTCACTTTCTCAACATGTCGACAACTGGAAGTAATCTGTTCATCATAAATTTCCGAAAGCAATATGCATCTGAGGAAGGCGGAAGAACTCATTGCTTGTAATGTTGAGTAAGCAGCAAGAATAAATGTTATATGTCCGAACATGTATATATACTGAAAAATTTAATTACTTGACTCTATCAAAAAAGTTTACTACCGTATCACCTTGAAACACCGATTTCCGTACTATCAGCGAAGTTAAGCAACATCTAGCAACGTCAATACCTAGATGGATGATCGCTTGGAAATAACTTGTACAGTGAGCATGAATGTGAGGGCTGTGTTGGACAACAACTCGTTGTTGTGAACCGGAGAGACGAGTTCCAATGCTAGCTGTGTTAGTTATATACACTTACGTACAAATACGCTTCGGGAATGTATGACTCCACTTCTTTTCCCCCTCATCTGTGAGTTAATTAGGAAGACATGTCTCCCTAAATCATTATTCTCTCTAAAAGATAATTATGATTTCTGGCTTTAAATAACCTGAAAAGGATTGATTAGAAAATGAATTAATCGATCAATATATGTAAAGGTGCTGAAGCGTTCTCCGCCCAAATAAGATTAAAAAATAAATTCGAATCTTTTGTTATTTGTTTAGATATTGGGTACCGGTTTTTAAGGAGAACTTTCTGCACCTCAATATATTTGCATTCATTTTATTTGTTTTTTACTGCATTAGAATCTTAAAACTTTTTTATTTCTCTTTTCTTTACTTGGTTTAAACTAACCGCTTGTTTAGTCCCAAGGTCCTGCGTCTACCATGCCAGAAATTTACCAAATGCCAGAAGCAATTCTCTTGGAGGTACCATAGTGTTCCAAATATACAGTCCCTCTTGCAGTCCATTACACGCAGACACAATGGCACATTCGTATCGTTACTAGATCACTATATCCATGGCAAATGTTCAGACGAGCTCCATTCTGTTGTTCCAACAATTCAGAGATTTGGAGGTAAGACATGCTATGCCACGCACCCAGAAACAAACCACATTCACGCCCTCCGTATACCAATTGTAAAGAGTAAGTTCCGCACAGGCAGCCATTGCGCTTGAACCGCTGCTCTGGGGAACAGAATACCACATGGATGTTTCTCTGAACGCTACGAACTTTATCTTCTTCCAGTCAAGGGTCAGGCGTATCTGTCCTCTATATGCATGTATTTAGTTCCTACTTCCTAATCTAACATTCCTATCACAGGCTTAATTCAGTAACCTTCTCAGTAAAACTTGAGTGTATCTTGAGCCTTGTATTGGGTGAATATTACTTATATAATGAACGCCAATGGCAGTGTGTCAGTATGTCACACCTTTTCAATTAAAGGGACACAACTCTAATCTCCTTTTATATAATAAATGCCAATGTGAGGGCGCCAGTGTGTCAGACTTTTTCAATTAAAGAGACACAACTCTCAATAGCGCATCTTCTTTGAACTTTTAAAAGGAAAGCTTAAATATTAATGGAATACTTAAATGCAGCGATCAATTTTGAGTTCTTCTGTAGTTTATTGATGCCTATCGCATCTACTCCTCCCTAGCTATTGTGATGAAGGTCCAATTAAGAACCCTACGTAGGAGTTAGCTTAATTGCTGCCCGATAAACTAGTTTTAAAATATATGAAGTCTACTCTAATGTGAGAAGAAAGAATACTTGATTTGATTGACTTCTATTTCTGTGAAATATCATGTCATGCCAGTGTCAAGATATACTCCATGAAAGCGAGCAGAGAATGATGGATTCATGCCTTTTGCCAAAAGTATAACTCGTAGATGAAGATAAGCTTGCACAAACCGACACAGTCAGAATTCGAAGCTCGTTTTATTTTTTCGTTTGAGTTTTCTGGATAACCAAAATGCTAGAACGTGTCATGTCTTTTTAGAATGTGTGCGATCATAGCTCTCCACGCCATCCTGTTTTTTGTTCTTAGCAATATTTATCATTTTTCTTTGTAGTAGTCTAATCTAGTCAGTAATTTGTTGTGGTTCTCTGACTCCATGATTTTTGATGTGTCCTGTTAGTATTAAATTTTCCAAGTCCGCTTTCATCATAAATTAAAAATGACTAACAAAAATCATCCATAACCTATCCAAAATAGATTTTTCTCTTTTATTTTATTTCGTTCTTGGCAACTTGGTTTGGATTTTAATTTATATTTTTGTTCTTCTTTTTCATTATTTTCCTGCCTTCATTTATTTTTTTTCCTTCTTTACCTTTCCTATGTATTTTCTTTTTAACTTTTCTCTAATTCCTTCTATTTACATTAATACTTACGTCTTCTCATTTGATTCGTTTACAACTCTTTCGCCCTAGTTTATTTTTCTTCTTCATTTTCATTCAGTTTTTTCATTTTTAAATGGCAATAAAGATTTCGCTTTTTCTCTTTTTTTTTCCATTTGTAACTCTCCTTGCGTTACAACCCACTTTACTTTCCCTTCTTCTTTATTCATTTTTCATTCAGTAACGATTTCATTTGTTCTTTTTTCCCATTTGTATCTCTCCTTGCTCAACAACCCACTTTACCTTTCCTTCTTTCTTTATTTTTCATTCAGTAACGATTTCATTTGTTCTTTTTTTTCATTTGTAACTCTCCTTGTCATACAACACACTTTTTCTTCGTTTTTTATTTATTCTTTCATTTATAAATTACACTAACCCCCGTCATTATCACAGACCTCGTTACAATATTTTAAAGATATCTATTCTTTTTCTTCATTTGTTTCTTAGGCATCATCTCAGATTAAATTATTTAAGCTTAGTGTGACACAAGGCCATTTGGGATATAGAAATCAATGAACTTACACTCTTCAGTGAAAATTAGCCTAAAGAATTAGCTTCCTTAAAACTCCCTATAGGAGACTGAGATGAATATGGCACAAGGCTACAATTGCGTGGCACCCTAGTGATTAACAAACTCAGTACACTCACAAATCGAGATTTGTTTGTTTTGTATCATGTTACTGGTGGCGCCTGTTATATTTATTTCTTCAAACTTAATATGACTACCATCTTACCATCGCGCTGCTGGTGGTTTGCTTTATACATACTAGGTTTAACTTAGTGTGGCACCAGGTTGTCGTAGCGAAACCACAATGAGAAGAGAAATTACTACACTTATAAGTCCGTCTGTGAGACGAGTTTAGCATCGCACTACATGAGGCGTCTTTTACATTTTTTCTACGCTTAGCTTTGTATGACCAACGGCATTTTCAAATATGTAAAAGATATTCGCCACATATGGCAATCAGGCGACCAACTGTTTTAAACGAATCCGTTACCGGCGAAGACTGAGAATCGATTACACACATCTTTACCGCCATAAGTACAAGACTTCGCGCTGAAGAGACCCATTGATGGCCTGTGTTGTCTTTGATTTTGGCCATTCTTCCATTGACGAGCGCCACCCCCAGGTACGCTCGTGGCGGGATACAATCAATGGTAAATTAAGAGATGGTGATCGTGTTCCAGTTCAAGAACTCGTCTGCGATAAATAAGTTTCCGTCATCTGCGACTCAAAAAAAGTCTCTTTCTCCACACACAATCAACCAAATAAACCACCACCCACTCATTCCTAAACAACATACACAGATTTATCACTTTCACCTTTCACCTTTCAATTCTCCAACCTTCTTCCTGTTACGCCGACAACAATTTGATTTCCTTTTGAAGTTTTTTTTTTTTGTTTTTGTTTTGTTTTTAATTGGGATTTATTTCTTTATTTTTCAGCTTTCTTCATTTCCTTAATTTTTGTTTCTTTCTTTTGACTCCCTTCCTTCGTCCCTTCCTTCCTTCCTTCCTTCCTTCCTTCCTTCCTTCCTTCCTCTTTCTTTTTACTCCCTTCCTTCCTCTTACTTTTGACTCCCTTCCTTCCTTCCTCCCTTTCTTCCTTCCTTCCTCACTCTTTCTTTTTACTCCCTTCCTTACTCTTATTTTTGACTTCCTTTCTTTCTTCCTTTCTTTCTCTTTCTTTTGACTCCCTTCCTTCCTTCCTTCCTTCCTTCCTTCTCTCTTTCTTTTTACTCCCTTCCTTCCTCTTACTTTTGACTCTCTTTCTTCCTTCCTTTCTTTCTATTTCTTTTGATTCGCTTCCTTCCTTTTTTTTGAATCCCTTTCTTCCTTCCTCCCACTTTTTTTTACTCCCTCCTTTCCTCCTTTCATTCCTCCTTCGTCCCTCTTTCTTTTCACTCCCTTTCTTCTTCCCTTTCTCTTTTGACTCCCTTCCTTCCTTCCTTCCTTCCTTCCTTCCTTCTTTCCTCTTTCTTTTGCCTCCCTTCGTTCCTTTCTTCCTTTGTTTCTCTTTATTTTGACTCCCTTCTTTTCTTCCTTCCTCTTTCTTTTGATTCTCTCCCTTTCTTCTTTCCTCTTTCTTTTGACTCCCTTCCTTCCTTTTTTCCTTCCTTCCTTCCTCCCTCCCTCCTTCCCTACTTTCTTTTGACTCTCTTCCTTCCTTTTGTCCTTCCTTCCTTCCTCTTTCTTTTGATTCCCTTCTTTCCTTCCTACCTCTTTCTTTTAACTCCCTTCCTTTCTTACTTTCTCCCTCTTTCTTTTGACTATCTTTCTTCTTCCCTCTTTCTTTTCACTCCCTTCCTTTCACCTCTTTCTTTTCACTCCCTTCCCCCTTCCTTCCTCCTTTTTTTTCACTCCCTTCCTTCCATAATATTCCTTTCTTTCCTCTTTGCTTTTAATTCCTTATTTGCCTCTTCTTCCCTTTTTATGTTTTCTTTTTTAATTCATTCCCTTTCCCTATTGTTTCCTTTTTATTTTCTTCTTCCTTTCTTTATTTCCATCCTCCTTCCTTCATTTTAATTCTTTTTTTTTCATTTTTTCTTCCTTCTCTCCTTCGTTGCAGTTTGTTTACTTCCCTCCTTTCTTCTTTCTTTTTTGCTTCTTCCCTTCTTCACCGTCCTTCTTCTTTCATTTTATCTACTATCATCGTTTTTTCCTTTTTTTACTTCTTCCTTTTTTCTTCTTTATTTAGAGTTCGTTCTTTCTTCCCTCTTTACTTACACTCGTCATTCTTTTTATTTGCTTGCTTTTTTTGACTCCTTTCCTTCTTGCTTATTTACATACCTCCTTTTTACATCGCTTCTTCTCTCTTGCTTACCCTTTCTTTCATTTCCTGTTTCCTTCTTATACTTAAACCCCTCCTTCCTTCTTTCCTACTTCTTTCTTTTTATTCACTTCTTATTAATCAACATTTGACTTACTTCCTCCAATCCTTCTGCCATTTCTTTCCTTTTATACTTCTTTTTTTATTCTATTTCCTTAATTCCTTTCTTTTTGCTTTAGGTAGGGGGTCTTTTCAATAGCAGCTCAGAAAGAGAAATTGAAGAATACATTTTCAGTCGGGGTCGTTATATTTGCTTCCTGCAAATAGCCTTGGGAAATGTATAAATTTATCTTGTCCACCAGCTATGGGTTAAATAGTAAGACGTCATCCTCAAAAAAATTGTTGATGCATTATTCACTCGCTAAAAAGAATTATTGTAACAATGCAAAATATGTTACGATTTTAAATAATTAACAAAGGGTTGATAAATCGTAAAAAACAAAACCAATCTCTTCATTTGATTTCCATCATTTATTTTTTTACTTTACTTTTATTTCCTTATTTCCTCTCTCTCTCTCTCTCTCTCTCTCTCTCTCTCTCTCTCTCTCTCTATCTCTCTTCTCACTTTTACTTCCTTCTTTTCTTCTTATCCGGAACTACGTAGCGGAAATGGTACTGGAATTGAAACAGTGTTTCTACAGAAGAGACACGGGTTAGGTTACTCTTCCTTTATCTTATTATTTTCAGATTTTACAAAAATGAATGTACTGCTTGATCGCGGACAGGAATAGGCATCCCAATCACTCACTTATGTATGCTAAATATAAAATCAGTCAGGGAGAAGTTGGAAGAACATAAATAGAGTTTTTTTTGTTTTTTTATAAAAAGGAAATATAAAATGTGATATATGCCATCTCTCCAACCTTGAAAAGGAAAACTAGTTTATATTGCAAAAGTCAGTTCTTACTCACGTCGTGTTACTGAGGTTGCATTTTGAATGCTGTTGCTTTGCTGTCCTTTCTACTCATTAAAGTCTTCTCATTATCGTTAACTTCTAGTAACCCCTTGCAACTTAATGGCATTATCGCCATGCTTGGGAGGAAATAACTGAATAAAAAAATTATATAATTTGGAAACGCATGAGTAACAAGTCCTCCCTCATAAGAATATGAGTATTTAAAACCCTAAATTTCTCTTACACTGGAAATCCTACGAAAGATGACACCAGTATCCGAAACAACACCATAAGCACTTTTAGATATTTACAAATGCAGGTTGAGTTTAACACTAGGCTTAATGGAAGGCACAAGTATCAAAATGATTATATTGCGCCAGTCTTTCATTTATGGAGAGGTTACTAGTTTGGAAAATTATATTACATAAAATTATAATACATTAAGTTATTTTCGTAGATACATGTGACCTAAAGTTTAGCAATCACGGAAGAAGGAATCGGCACTCCGGGTTCAAATTCCAAATGGGACAGATTCATTTCAATTTCATTTTATTCAATTAGCTCATTTTGCACCGTCGCTTTGATTACCACTCCTCACTATCTAACAATTGTGGTTCAAGGTGACATTCAAGACAGAATAGTGCAATGGCTTGCCGATTCCTTTTTCATCGGGGATTTTGAGGTTACTCCTTTCCTTCTCTCAGAGGTGGATTTGTTTTTGAATTTAACCTCTTCTAGGCATCGCTAAAAGAGGCTGGTCTTACAAGACATCAGGTGGTTTGAATTCAGAGTTTTCTTCTCCTAGACTGATTACCATCCAAGGCTATAGGACGCAGTCTATCCTGCTATTTTACCCATAGCTTTGAATTAATGCGAGGAAAACATGAATCATTAACCAAGTTGGGGTAAAATAGTACAGTAGACTAGCCTACCTAGCCTTTATAAGAGAAAGTTTCTGCTTATTGCATATTGTGCATTAATTTGCGTTCAAAATACAAGGGCCGTGTGGAATTATCATGCCAGTTGGAATTTTTCAAGTTCATCTTTTGTACGAATTACAAATACCGAATGGAATAGTCAAGGCGGTGGCAATTTTTCAACATCAACTTTGGTACCAAATACAAGTGCGGTCGGGGATAGTCATGACAAAAGAAATTTTTCAACATCATCTTTTTGTATAAAATGCAAATGCCGTCTGTAATAGACAGGCCTATGTAATTTTTTCAACATCGTTGTACCAAATACCAGTGCAGTCTGGAATAAACAGGTCGAAGGGAATTTTCTTAAATTTAACATTTGTACTAAATACAAATAGTTAGGGCGGTTGTAATTTTAAAACTTCCTTTTTTTTGTACCAAATACATTGTTTGTCTGGTATTAGTCAAGCCAGTGGTAATCATTCAGAATCATCATTTTTACCAAATACATTGTTTGTCTGGTATTAGTTTGACCGGTGGTAATAATTCAGAATAATCATTTGTAGCAAATACATTATTTGTATGGTATTAGTTAAGCCGGTGGTAATCACTGAGAATAATCATTTCTACAAATACATTGTTTGTCTGGTATTAGGCCGGTGGTAATCATTAAAAATCATCATTTATAAAAAGAAAATACATTGTCTGGTATTAGTCAGGCCGGTGGTAATCATTCAGAATCATCATTTGTACCAAATACATTGTTTGTCTGGTATTAGTCAGACCGGTGGTAATCATTCAGAATCTTCATTTGTAACAAATACATCGTTTGTCTGGTATTATTCAGGCCGGTGATAATTATTAAGAATCATCATTTATAAAAAATACATTAGGTATTAGTCAGGCCGGTGGTAATCAGTCAGAATCATCATTTTACAAATACAAGGATCGTCTTGAATAGAAAGGCCCGTATATACTTTGCACGTCTCTCATTTGTACAAGTGTCATTATGAATACTCAAACGGAAGGGTATTTTTCATCATTAATACAAAATAGAGATGCCGTTTGGCATAAACAGGCCGGTGGGAATTTTTCAGCATCATCTTTGTTATCAAATATAAATGCCTTCTGGAATATTCGGGTCTATGGTCATTTTTCAGCTACATCTTTTATGCAAAATACTAGGGCCGTTTTCAACTAGAGTTTTTCAACTTCATATTTTCTACTACATACAAGTGCCGTGTGTAATAATATGATCTGTGAGTAATTTTTAACATCAAATATTGTACAAAATTCAAGAGCCTACCGAAAATGTCATAATGGTCGGAATTTTTCAGCTTCATCTTTTGTACTTAAATACAAGTACCGTCTGGAATGATCATGCTGAAGTAAATTTTAAGTATCATCTTTCGTACCTAATACAAGGGTCGTCTTCTATAGACAGGCCAGTGGGTATTTTTCAACTTCAAATTTTGTACCAAATATAAGCGTCGTCTGTAATTGTCATGATGTGGAGAATTTTCAACTTCATCTTTTGCCCCAGATACAAGGGTCGTCTTGAGTAGACAGGCCAGTGGATATTTTTCACTTTTAAATTTTGTACGAATTACAAAAGTGCTGTCTGGAATATTTATGCCGGTGAGAATTTTACAACTTCATCTTTGGAATAAATACAAGTGCCATCTGGAATAATCAGGCCGAAGCGAAATTTTAACTTCATATTTTGTTCCAAATTCAAGTGACATCTGTAATAATCAGGCTAGAAATAATTTGTCAACTTCATCTTTTGTACAAGTACAAGGGTGGCACTGAATAGACAGGCCAGTGTGTATTTTTCAACTTCAGATTTTGTACTTAATACAAGGACCATCTGGAATAGTGATGCGGTTATTTTTCAGCTTCATCATTTGTACCAAATACAAATGCTCTCTGAAATAGTCAGGCCGGTGGGAATGTTTCAAATTCATCTTTTGTACTACGTACAAGTAACGTCTGGAATAATCAGGCCTGTGGAGATCTTTTCAATTTCATCTTTTGTATTACTTACACGT